TAGTGTTAAGGTCAGTAAAGATCACCAAGCCCTTGTCCTACATTTCCTATCAGAAAATCAGTTCTGGGAGAAAGTAGGTGAGAGGAAGAAAAGGGAGTCTCAAGACAGGAATGGAGAGCACATCAGCACCTGGCTGGGATCTCAATTTTAACAGCAAAAAACCCATTTGATGTCTTTCAGTTTAAAGTTACAGCCAGCGGCTATCCAGCTCCGGCACTCTGCTGATCTGGGGCCTTTTGCAGACTGTAATGTGCTCACTGGAACTGAAGCTTCCCTTTAGAAAAAATGATGTCTGCAGCCCTTCTGGTTTGCCAAGATATAGCCTTCGCTATGTAAATCAATGCTCTGCTGTGTTGTTGAATCTACAGCCTGAGGTATGAACATCTCCCATTCATCTTAATGGGATGTTAACCTCAAAGCCTCATTGTGACTATCTGAATGCTAATACTATATTAAACAAGTTGTTTAACATACAAATGGTGGGCTTAAGTCACTCACATTTGTATAGGAGAACTGGACTGACTTTGATTTTGCAGCAGCTGAGGATCTACAGAAAAATAGTCTGAAGAAAATGACCCCCTGACTTTCCATTCGCCGTAGTCATTTTTTAAAAATTATTTTTATTTTGGTTTAGAGTTGCAGGGAGGAATTTCTAGCTTTCCCTATTGATCTTCTTGAGGTAGGCAAGTGATTGCTGTTTTTGCTTTCAGAGTTTCTCTCCCCTCTCCCAGTGCTGGTGTCAATACCACCTGGGTTTACAAAGCTTTCGATTCACGTTTATGGGCCGGCCTCTGCCTTCTCTGCTCACATTCTCTGCTCTGTAAGAAGACCTCAGTAAGGACATGGTAGAAAAAGTTCAATAATGAGGCCCAGCAGGACCATCAGAAGGTACGCAGTGCCCTTGGCTCTCGCATGCAGACTAACCCTGCCGCAGCGCAGGCAGAGATGCGATGCCGTGAGGTGTATGCTGGAGCAAGGCAGCGCTCACCTGAAGGGTGGAAGCTCTGGGTTTTCAGAAATAGCTGGCAGCTAGCTACCTAAGCTACCACTGTTCAGCTCTCCACAGGAATCAACCGAAAGTTTAGAAACTAATATCCTTCTTGCAAAAGTTTTGCAAGCCTCACAGTAAGGCAACCAACATCTCTGGTCCCCAGGCTCCCCAGTAGCTCTGGCAAATCTTAGGTATGGGTCTTACCTAGAAGTCACAGCCGGGTCCCCACACTTCAGCTTTGAATGTGGATTTCAGTATGGGGCTGACTACCAGAAGTGAATACATATCCATCAAAAAATAGATCAAAAGACAAATGAAACTGCCTGCTCAGATAAAGCTCTTTTCAAAAAGGTACAAGGGGGAGGGGAAGAACAGGCGAGAGGATTTGAAGAAATATCCGTTGAAAGATAAAATAGGCAAGATACTGTGATGAAGAAAGTGAACAATGAAACAGAATCTACTTCAGACAGATCAAGTGAAAGGAAATCACATTACTATTTACAGTAAAGATCACTCATCTAACATGTATAATTAGAAATTCGCACGATAAAAGTGATCAGTGAATGCTGCTGTAATCAAAAATAATACAGCATTGTATATATTTGAAAAAAAAATCTAGCACTCTCCAAAAATAGGAATAATAGGGCTCATTAATAGAGACTCCATCTGAACTAAACAAGTTCCCTTTATTCACATCATCATTTTTCTGAGACTGCCAAAAGAAACCCTCCATATAAGTCATCACAGAGCAGCCCCCCTGCCCCACACATCTGTGCCTCGCTGAAGTTTAGTGGCAGAAAGGACAATGATACTCAAAGAAACCCATTCACATTTCAAAGACTTTCATTTTCTCCTTTGCTTTTGTTATTACATCTGCAAATACAGCACAGCACCTGGGTTTGTGCAAAACCATAGCTGACGACACTTCTACACTCAGTGCACACATATCTTTGGCTACAACAAAAACGTTTGGTGATGATGTGGGCCAATGCACTGTGCAATACAGTGGAGCAGTGAGAAGATGTATTAACACTGCAGTAAAAATTTTAAGGCCAAAATTACATGCTTAGCAAATTCTCTTTCTCAACAAAAGACACGCAAGCACAAACAAAAACAGTTTTCAGCAGCAGAACTAAATGTTTTTCTCTTGATTTCACAGCAGTTTAGTTATAATCTATTATTATCATTTGCAGCTAATATCCTAAGCAGAGACACTGTCAGGAATGGTTGCTATTTTTTGAAATTGCATTTTGTTAAAGAATCAGATTTTTACATGGACAATAGGTTCCTACCTACCCAAAGCCCCAGAAGAGTCACTAAAATTTTTATACATGAACGTAAGCAAATCTACACTAGGGGATACGATCAGGGTGCACAAGAAAATTCCAAGTTAGTATGCTATTTACTACTATTTCCAATTCAGACTATATTGTACCCTGTCCCTTCTAAGGCACTGTCAAGGATATTCATGACTGCTAATATTGCCCCATACAATCTCTATAGGATAAAATTATTCTGGAAAGCCCACAACCTACTGAGCTGGACCGTTTGTAGTCTCTCTGGACTGTAAGCCTATCAAAAATAGCATGATCTGGAAACCTGCCTCTGAGCAGTTGCAGACTTCCTGTTGTGTTATAAAGGACAATAAATATTGCTACATCACACTAGATTTATCCTTATTTTGTCTCTTAGGTGCTTTTTTATGCCACATGGAAACACATCAAGAGAAAGCAGGAAAAGAAAAGATGAGTTCAACGCCGAGTCCATAGTTCTCAGCTTGACTTTACTCCCTGTGCTGCTTTGTTTAGATTGGGTTTTAAACAAGCAGACAAGTGTTTTGCAGATTCAGATATGGGGCAAGGAGACAGATCCCAGCACCTCTAAGAAGTCAAGTTAAGAACTTAATTCAAGTCCTACCGGTTTGACTTGTTGGACTCATTACAAAAATAAAGTGCCATTAAGTTTCTTCTTCAAAAGGCAGTACTTCCTAAACATAAACTTTTTTCTATCCCCCAAAGTGGTTATTACTAATTGTAAAACAGAGACTAACGTAAGACGGGAACTGAAGTCCAAAACCCTCCAAATATTTTATTTATACATTATTTATTACTTATATATTATTTATCACTTATTAAATATACATTTCAGGTACTTTATCTCATTATTATTATTCACAGCAGCCAGACTAACAAATAATCACCAAATTCACACCTTAAAAAACAGAAAGAAAAAAAGAGAAGAGAGACAGACATCTGAGGGAGGTACAGAACTAGCTGCCTTCTTTAACCAGGGTAGGGAAAGCGCCCACAATTTCCTGATGTTCACAGCATACCATTAATTGTCAGCAATCTTCCTCCACAATAAGACTTCATATGTATTTTCTTTACCTCTGAAATTTATGCTCAAGAAGCAATAAGGACAGAGAAAAATAGGCAGTATATGAAGACAAGCATGGCAGTTTTATGTAAGCTTTACAAAACTGAGTAAAAAATACTTGAAAATACTCTCCAAGGAATACCATAAAATCTAAATAGCAACACATGAAGATAATGGGACTTCCCATTCTCTTCCTGAAGTCAACAATAGTTTTACCACTGACATTAATATGAGCAGGACTGGGGCCAACAATTTACAATAGACACCCCTGAGAGAAGCATTCCCAGCCATTACCTGTAGTGAATGGGCAAAATAGCTCTAAATAAAGATCTTAATCTTCCAAGTTACTTGCCCTAAAAAATCAAGAAGAGCATTTTGCTGGGACAGGAAAAAAGTTCTGAGTCATTAAAATACCCACCTCCAAACAACAGTTAGACTTTCTTTACATTTTTCAGGTTAGAAAAAAGTATATTTAACAGAAACAAATTCAATTGTTATTTCTTTTTCACCATCATACTGAAACATCTCCCCATGTTGGTCTGAATTTATGCATACAATATGGGTTTTAAATTAGCATATGATCAGTCACCAAAGATGTCAAGTGCATTATTAAGATTAGTCAAGTATGAAATACTATGGAGGGGAAAGATATTTCAAAGAAGATGTAAACTGACCTAGTTTCACAGCCCACTGTTCTGAATTTTGAGGATTTCACTAACGACTGTATTTGTTTCATCTTGTCAGAATGACTTGCAGCTTATGAAGTGCATTGATCTACTGGTGAGAATTAATTGTAGAACCCGGTGACTCCTGTCAAAGTAATACACTTACTTAAAACCTTTCTGTTGTATATCTTTGTTGGTGTCTCTAAAATTAAAATTCAAAACTTAACAAAAGTAGATTTCCCTAGGAATCTCAAAGTGTCAGCTGGAACTTTTCTTTCTTCTGGAACAATTCTATCTCATTTTGTATTCTACGCTAAACTCAAGGTCAGTTAACAAAATATATTCTGTGAATAAAAGTATAATTATCGGTGTAATTTGCAGTGCAAATGAAAGAAAATCATTACTGCCCAATTAACAGTACATATGTCAAGAATCCTGTAAGAAAAATAGAAATAAAATAATCATAACTTTAAGATCTGGAAGCTTTTTTATCTCCTGCTCTGAACAGAAACCATGCACGCTGTATGTTGCCTAATTTCTTCCATAAATAATTCACTTCTAATTTTTAACGATGATTTCTTGCTGAGGAGAACATATTTTTTACTTTAAAGTTTTGTATGATAATTTTTTTTTAATAACATCTTCTCTGGAATGTCTGAAACTTTTTTTTTTTTTTAATCCATAATTTTTACCAGAATAATTCCAAAAAATCTTTAAAATATAATGGAATGCAATTCTTGTAAGGTCAGAGTGTTCCCATGGAAGCCTCAACACAGAGGGTTCACTTCTTGAGTCACTGCTCTACCAGGACTCCCAGATACATCAGTAGGATTGCAGGAACAAGTTTCTGGTTCAGTTCAGTTCAGGATAACCAAAAGAAAATATCCATTTACTAATTGGTGTTTTGGAGTTTAATAGAATACTGAACAGTTTATTTTGCAGATGCAAGATCAGACACCCAAGCTCACCTGTCTGCTCTTCTGCAAAGTGATGTATCCTCAGCATTGAGGCTCTACTCACCGACATCTTGATGCCTCACACAGAGCTTCAAACCACAGTAGCGTTGCACCCAGCTTTCAGGAGACCACACATGCATCAAGGGAGCATCTTTCCAAGTTAAGGCAGCCAAAATCAGTGGCTGTTTCAAAACAAAAGCAACAAAAAATATCACGGCTGTAAAATAGCGACACAAAGGGCTAGTATAAGCTCTGGTAAAGAAATACGTTCTGGCAATAATACCAAGGAGAGTGTATTCGGGGTAAAATATACAAGTCTCATCAGTTCACAGGTTCTGTCCCCAAACTGACATACTTAAAAAAGAAAGAAACAAAAATTTTAAAAAATGTATTGTTGTCAAGTACAGAAAAATAATTATACAGCTGGTATGACAGATTCACACAGAGGCTGCTGATGCACTGGAACAGGTTGCCCAAGGAGGCTGTGGATGCCCCATCCCTGCAGGCATTCAAGGCCAGGCTGGATGTGGCTCTGGGCAGCCTGGTCTGGTGGTTGGCGACCCTGCACATAGAAGGGGGTTTGAACTAGGTCTTTGAGGTCCTTTTCAACCCAGGCCATTCTATGATTCTATGAAATTATCAGAAATAGAATTTATTAAAAATATATATTTTTTTTATTTCAACTATTAAGAGATGTTTATATGTATACACATACCACCCTAACAAACAACACAGAGTCGCAGACTAAGTTAGTCTAGTAAAGCTCAGTTCAGTGAAAGATATCACTGAGACCTTATTGCTCTCTTCAACTTCCTGATAGGAGGCTGTAGAAAGGTAGAGACCATCCTCTTTTCCCAGGTAACAGTGGTAAGACAAAAGGTAATGGCCTTAAGTTGCAACAGGGGAGGTTCAGGTTGGATATTAGGAACAATTTCTTCTCAGAGAGAGTGGTGATGCACTGGCACAGGCTGCCCGGGGGTGGTGGAGTCACCATCCCTGGAGGTGTTCAAGGAAAGGGTAAACGTGGCACAGGGGGACATGGTTAGTGGGCATGGTGAGGATGGGCTGATGGTTGAACTAGATGATCTTAGCGGTCTTTTCCAATCTTAACGACTCTTTGATTACTAAGTTAAAGTGGAAGCATATCAAGCAGGTAACACCCAAGATAATTTATTCCCACAAGTTTATGTGTTAGTTAAGGTTTGCTTTGCTACCACGTGTTGCAGGGACTCCACAGATCCCAAGTACCACAAGGACCTGGAACATTACTTTCAATTTCCCTGCAGATAAATGCTCAGAGATTTTTTAGGTTCCCAACTCAACAAAAGTCAAAACCTTTATTATTCAGAGAGACTATGAAGAAACCAGGAACAACAGAAAGCACAATAAAACCACCAAGTCTGAAACAAAAGGGCATTTTAACACCCCCAGCCAACACTACCACTCCAGATGTAATAGGCCACGAAGCAGGGGAGAGAGCAGACTAAGGGAACCAACAGGCCTGAAGAGGCAACACTCCCTGGGTGAAGTCACAGGGTGGCTCTGGATCATTAAAGCCTTGTCTAGAGATATTGAACTCTTCAGAGGACAGACACAGCACTGGAAATAATTAACTGCATTAACATTCACTACACTGCCAAGCATTGTTCATCTCCTGGTAAAATGAACTTTGTTTTTTGCCTTGATTAGCAGCCACAATCAAGGAAAACAAGTCTGAAATTTGCAGACAATTTTCATGCTTGAGGAGAGAGCACTGTCTTATTCTGCAGCACAAGTGCTGTATTATCCTTCACTTCTACAGAAGAAGATGTCAGTATGAGACACACTATATGTGACAATTTAAATGCATGCCCTAAGGCTTAAAAGCAGCACAGTGCCAAAGTCGAGTGATCCTCGCAATCACAGACAGGCTGACCTCAGCTGCAAGGCTCAGAAAATAGATGACATTTCCTAAATTCTGAGTGGGACAAGGCCTCTTTAGAAAAGATCCTGGGAAAAAACTCACTTCCATTTTTTCAAGAAAAAATTGCATGTGTATTACTAAAGTTCTCAAAAGCCTGAAAGAAAACAAAATTTTGTTGCCTAAAATCAGTTGTTTTTCTTTGAATCAAAATAACATTTTTTTTAACAATTTTTAGAATTGTTTCTGTTTGAACAAGGTATAATGTATGAGAATTCTCAGTGGCATGCTCAGACAACACAAGGCAGAGCAAGCACAGAAGTCAGCTGCTAAGCACCATTCAGCCTTCTCCAAGGGGATCTGGGAGCAGGGACATCACCTGAGTGATGTAGAAGTGATCATTACTGATGTTCCTGATGAACTCCCTGTGATTCCAATGGAAGTTGGGTTGCAATCACACTTGAGAACAGACGGCTGAAGCCCCTCAACAGCACCATCCCAGCAGATGGTGCTCAACACTGTGGTACTGGTGGAAAAGGCCATGCCTTTTCCGTGCGAAGCCCTCCAAGCTCTGCCAGCCAACCATATCATGCTGTCAGACATCTGTAGTCAAATACTGCTCATTTTGCTTTGCAGTTTGATGGAACTTGGATTAACTTTTCTTGTATTTTCCTCACATTTATAATTGCATGCACCTCAAAAAAGGAGTCAGTATCTATCCACATTACTTGTGTTAAAAGCCATCACATTGCTACCAAGGGGCCAGTGAGTGTGCTGATACCTGAATACTCTGACAGTTCCCACCACATGCTGGCTTTTTGCAGGCTTTAGATCGGGGATTTGCAAGTGCTTGTTAAGGCATATGAGCTGGGGTAAGCAAAAAGAAACTTTACTATCATAGATCTGCTGCTGTTGGCTCCTCATCTTTGAAATGTGTACAACATCGGGAAGGGCTCTTTGCCTTGAAAACAACAGCTTTGGATACAAAACATACGAATACGTACAGGTCTCTATACATAATTCAACTCAGAGAAGAAACAATTTAGAGTCCACAAGACCTTTGATAGGTCTTAGAACAGGGTTTGGAAATCAGAGCAGCTGGAGCTTTCTGATTGCATTCTGTTTTGTCTACCCCCAGAGCATTTTTCACACACATGCCTATCTCACTGCCGGCACTAATGTGCAATTCTGCATTCTGCAGGTTCTGCCCATGCAGGCTTCTGCCCTGGACTACGCTTGTCCTTGGCTGCACAGCTATGCGAAATGCATATTAGTGGGAGCTCAGTCCTACAAAGTGCAGCAGTGCAGCAAAGCCAAAGTGCTCAGCACCTTCCAGAAGACAGGCATTACTATTCCATTATTTTAAGCCACTGCTGCCAACAGGCTTGGCCATTTCCACGGGCATGCGTGTCAGCTACTCGAGACAAATGGGCTGCCTGCTCCGCATTCCTTCTATTCTCGCCAGCCTCTGTTTATCATCTGTTTTCCATTTCATTCCTTTACCTCCCATTCTTTAAAAGTATCTGTGGGGCTGAAAAGTATCCACTAGCTCTTGGTCTCTGCTGCTGGAATTGGAGTGTTTCTGTTACTTGTTCCAGGGAGCTGGCCAGAAACAGCCAGCCAAAGAGATCATCAAGCCAAGAGGTGGGGTTTTACAAGGTTCCTAGGTTGTTTTTTTTTTTTCTAATGATCTCTTCCTCCTGCCTCAAGATTTTCCAGGCAAACCCAAAGCTGTGGGGCTGGCTGTGACGTGCGCTCCTGGTCAGGTCTCAGTGGTCACGGATGCTGTGAATCACTGAGCTGGGAATGACTCCTTCCTTCCTGCACGCACCGTTGCTCTGAATTCTGATAAGAAATTCAATTGATTTTAATTAAAATAGTGCGAACTCCTGCATGACACTCTCAATTTAGTCTAAGAATAGCTTATTTAGATTTACTTTACACTTGTGCCTAATTGATTAAACCCAAATAAGCCATTTTCATTGCTAGAGTCGGTGCACAGGTTTAACTAACCCAGAACCAGTTTGTCCTTCCCAACGTGTGCAATAACAAAGAGCACACGAAGGCACGCAGTGAGTATTCGCTTGACTGTGAAACACAACATTAATCTGTCACCCCCTGACCCTGTGCTGTATTGCCAATACGTCAAACATCTTCACTCTGCTTAGCCCAAGCACATTCCATGCACTGTGCTCTTTGTCAATAACCGTTCAAATATTTCTCTGCTGGTAAAAGTCACCGCATTTTCCTGCCTCCTCCAGCATCAGCAGAGTTTCTTAGCTCTTCATGAAAATTCAAATGAAAAATATCGACAAGTTTTCCTTGTTTTTAAGCACACACAACAAGCGACTCCTTCTGCTTTTTCCCCAGCTTTGCAAAGGCAATGCAGTGCCTGTAAATTTTTAATTCCACCTTCATGTTTGAGTCAGACTTGAAAAACTGAGAACCTGTTTTTATGGGGGCTTTAGGAGAATGATTTTGGAGCATCTTAGCTTAGCTGAATTTCTGCAGACATATGTGTTAACTGCTTTATGGAGACCTTGGGATCCTTCAGGACTGAAGATGCTCTCACATGGGCAATAATTTATAATCACTGGCAAAACACACACACAAACACAAAACTGACGGAAAGAATTTGTTATCTGTAAGACAGGACACTACCCACTTCTGAAGCTCAGCCCCTCACCAGTGCTCCTCAGTACACCGTGCCACCTCCTTAACAAAGCTAAAAAGCTAACCCGGGCCAGGAGGAAGAGGTCATTAGAAACAGGCATCATGTGCTGCCTTTGCAATGTGAGCACTGCAGAAAGCCCTGGCAGGACCAAGCCTGGAGCCTGGCAGAATAGGTGCCCCAGCAACAACCAGGCTGCAATGGCAGGTGCCCCTGGGCAGCTGAGTTACCACCTGCAAACATTAGAAATTAAATTTTTTAAAAAGGAAGAAGAGTAAAGTATTTGGGAAGGTTTTTACTGGGTCTTCTGATATTTTTGCTGTTTGGAGAAGGCAGAGAGAACATGCAGGAAAGGAGAAGAGTGCAATGAAACTCACTAACTGTAGGCTCTTCCAAATGCAGTCAGTTATTTCTGTAACATTCTTTCAGAGACATTTGGGTTTACTGCTGTCTTAGACCCAGTCCCACAACAGATGTCTGCAAAGTCTTGCTGACTTCAGCAAGACATAGCTGTTGTTAGACTATGTTCTGGGACAAAGGCTCTACTGAATAATTTGCTCTACTGTCATACATATAGAATGATTTCTAAATCAAGATTTTTGGTTTCACAA